TGAAGTCTTTCTTTGGCCCCTCAACAACATATGAAGAAAAAAAACAGGAATTATTTTGATCAAATTTGATCAAGATTTTTACCATTAAATTACGCAAATGGGGGCAGAAGCAAAACATTACAGGGTTAATCACTGCGACAGAAAAGGAAAAAATGTTGAAATAATTAAAGCTTTTATTACGTATTAACTCTACAGGTGATAAAAGTCACTGATTTTTGCACACTCAGAGTACAATCTGAGCACTTTTAACTTAAAAGTAATTTATTTTCTTAATCCTATGTTTGAAGTGTTTCATGTATCCATTATTTTATCTTTTTATGTCACAGATTTTTGGATATTAAAAGTAGAATCGTAGTACTTTTAACTTAAAAGTAATACATTTTCTTAATCCTACATTTGAAGTGATTCATGTATCCATTATTTTATCATTTTATGTCATAAAGAGGTAAAAGGGTTCGAGTGCCGACACGAAATGGCCAGAAAACTCACACTTGTTGGTTTTTAAAAGTCACTTATAAACTCGAACGCACGTTAAAACCCAAAGGTCAAAGGTCAAACCGGAGTCCTGCTATTTGAGGAGCTCAAAATAACGCCGAATGTCCGTTTTTTAAGCTTTTAACGGGTGTTTTTATCCGGAGCGATTTGGTCTGAGTGCAGCGGACGGAGAAAAGAGCAGAAGAAGAAATGGCTGAGTACTTTGAGAGAAAGAGCAGAAGAAGAAATGGCTGAGTACTTTGAGGGAGGAGAGGGGGGGGCGTTTTCTGCCCCGAGGCTCGGGGGGGTCGCACAGGGCCTGTTGGCTGGTCATCTGGAGCCCGTCCATCTGAAACTCACAAAGAAAAGGGATTCCACATGAGGGTTGTCACGATACTAAAATGTTCAACTGGATACCGATACTCAGGAAAATACTCGATACTCGATACCACAAGGATAAAAACAAAGACCCCAAAATTTAACTGAGTTTTGACAGGTTAGTGTCTTTGGTTTCAAACTAACCTGTTACTGATGTTAATTAATGACCCTAATCCTAACCCTAACCCTGACCCTAACCCTAACCCTGACCCTAACCCTAACCCTGACCCTAACCCTAACCCTGACCCTAATCCTAAACCTAACCCTAACCCTAACCCTGACCCTAATCCTAACCCTAACCCTGACTCTAACCCTCCAGCCTTCATAATTGTGAGAAATAAATATTTTTTGGTTAGTGTGGAGCCGCTCTGAAACTCACAAAGAAAAGGGATTCCACTAGGGTTGTCACAATACTAACATTTTCAACTCGATACCGATACTCAGGAAAATATTCAATACCATTTTAATACCACAAGGATAAAAACAAAACCCCAAAATTTAACTGAATTTTGACAGGTTAGTGTCTTTGGTTTCAAACTGGCCTGTTACTGATGTTATTGTGACTCGTGGCCAGTATTAATAACCCTAATCCTAAACCTAACCCTAAACCTAACCCTGACCCTAATCCTAACCCTAACCCTAACCCTAACCCTGACCCTAAACATAAACATAAACATACTCAGGAAAATACTCGATACCATTTTGGATACCACAAGGATAAAAACAAAGACCCCAAAATTGAACTGAATTTTGACAGGTTAGTGTCTTTGGTTTCAAACTGACCTGTTACTGTTGTTAATTAATGACCCTAATCCTAACCCTAACCCTAACCCTAACCCTAACCCTAACCCTGACCCTAACCCTAACCCTAACCCTGACCCTAATCCTAACCCTAACCCTGACCCTAACCCTAACCCTGACCCTAACCCTCCAGTCTTCATAATTGTGAGAAATAAATATTTTTTGGTCATCTGGAGCCCGTCCATCTGAAACTCACAAAGAGAAGGGATTCCACATGAGGGTTGTCACGATACTAAAATGTTCAACTGGATACCGATACTCAGGAAAATACTCGATACCATTTTCGATACCACAAGGATAAAAACAAAGACCCCAAAATGTAACTGAATTTTGACAGGTTAGTGTCTTTGGTTTCAAACTGACCTGTTACTGTTGTTAATTAATGACCCTAATCCTAACCCTAACCCTAACCCTAACCCTAACCCTGACCCTAATCCTAACCCTGCCCCTGACTCTAACCCTCCAGCCTTCATTATTGTGAGAAATAAACATTTTTTGGTTAGTGTGGAGCCGCTCTGAAACTCACAAAGAAAAGGGATTCCACATTAGGGTTGTCACGATACTAAAGTTTTCAACTCGATACCGATACTCAGGAAAATACTCGATACCATTTTCGATACCACAAGGATAAAAACAAAGACCCCAAAATTGAACTGAATTTTGACAGGTTAGTGTCTTTGGTTTCAAACTGACCTGTTACTGATGTTATGGTGGCCCACATTAATGACCCTAACCCTAACCCTAACCCTGACCTTAACCCTAAACCTAACCCTAACCCTAACCCTGACCCTGACCCTGTCCCTAACCCTAACCCTGACCCTGACCCTAACCCTGACCCTAACCCTAACCCTACACCCTTCATAATTGTGAGAAATAAATATTGTTTGGTTAAACTTGTTTGGACTTATTGTACAAACCTATTTAACATTACACTATGTTAACATAATATTATGGATAGAGTTTAATTAAGTGTTTGAAAGATTAATTTCACTATTTTCAGTGAAATCAGTTTGCTAACTCATTCTGGTCAAACGGGGACTCGTTAGCACTGGGGAACCGCTGACTAACTAGCTAAAGGGGTATCATAGTGTTTGTTTTCTTGGATTAAATGTTATCAGTAATTGTTGCTCCAGTGAAAGCTGCTAGCTTTCAGTTGGAGCTTTGTAAGTTCTCTCATTTGGGCTAGTTTAGCCATTATAAGAGGCTAGGTTAGCCTCTTAAATTAGGCTAGGTTCGCCTCTCCAAGTAAAGCTAGATTAGCCTCTCTAAGAGCCATGGTTAACCCCCTAAACTAGGCTGGATTAGCCTGTTTTAGAGGTGAGGTTAGCCTCTCCGAACTAAAATAAATAAGCCTATCTAAAATGCTAGGCTAGCCACTTAAATTAGGCTGGATTAGCCTCTTTAAAAACCGAGGTTAGCCTCTTAGATTAGGCTAGGTTAGCCTCTTAAATTAGGCTAGGTTCTCCTCTCCAAGTAAGGCTAGATTAACCTCTGTAAGAGCCAAAGTTAACCTCCTAAACTAGGCTGGATTAACCTGTTTCAGAGGTGAGGTTAGCCTCTCTAAACTAAGATGAATTAGCCTCTCTAATATGATAGGTTAGCCTCTTAAATTAGGCTAGGTTTGCCTCTCCAAGTAAGGCTAGATTAACCTCTGTAAGAGCCAAAGTTAACCTCCTAAACTAGGCTGGATTAACCTGTTTCAGAGGTGAGGTTAGCCTCTCCAAACTAAGTTAAATTATCTTATCTAAAATGCTAGGTTAGCCTCTTAAATCAGGCTGGATTAGCCTCTTTAAAGGCCGAGGTTAGCCTCTTAGATTAGGCTAGGTTAGCCTCTTAAAGTAGGATAGGTTAGCTTCTCCAAGTGAGACTAGATTAGGCTCTCTAAGAA